CCCCCCCAACCCAGAATCCCCCTTACAAACTAGTATTGGACTGCATTTCCCAGCCCTTGGTGGACTACAACTCCCCAAATCCCCCATAGCCTTGATAATTCCAAGCATTGCTGCAGCACTACCCCCTCCTCCCTGAACTCTTCCCCTTCCCCAAAATCCCCCTTTTGCAAAACTGCTTTGCTTCCCACCTTGTTGTTATTCTCCTTTTTTTTCCCGGGAAAATAAAAGAATGCCCTCAAAAGGGCAGCGGCTCCTGGCTTCAGGCACGCATGCGTCTCGCCACTTCCGGTTTCCGCTTGGAACGTTCAACGTAGAAAGGGAGGGAGGGAGGAGGAAGGCAAAGAGACCATAGATCTAGACTATTTGTTAGAGTGATTCAGAGGAGTCTAACTTTCGGGTCGCTTTGGAGGAAAAGAGAGAGATGCAGCAAAACAATCTCTGAGTAAGTACAGAATTTGGAAGAATTTTTCAGAATTAAAATAATAAACCTTATTTATAATAATAATAATACATTTAGAACTAAATAGAATTAAAATTACTGTACTGGAATATGATGATTTGAAAATTATTTTTACTGTATTAATAATAGTAGTATATTTTTATACTTTATTTATAATAATAATACATTTAGAATTAAATAGAATTAAAATTACTGTACTGGAAAATGTTGATTTGAAGATTATTATTACTGTATTAATAATAGTAGTATATTTTACTTACATATTTATATATCCAAGTGAAACAACTAATAAACTTTATTTATTATAATAATAATACATTTAGAATGAAATAGAATTAAAATTACTGTACTGGAAAAATGTTGATTTGAAAATTATTATTACTGTATTAATAATAGTAGTATATTTTACTTATTTATTTATATATACAAGTGAAACAATTACAACAAAACTATGGGTCCTCCCATATTTTTAATATATGTGTGTGTGTATTTTATACATATATAATATATATTTAAATACATATATTCAATATTGTTTATATTTAATCCTATTTTAATGTCTGCATATTGTATATTTTGAATTGTATGCTAATTTTTTATGTTAAACTGCTTTGAGTCTTCTGCAGGAGAGATAAAGCAGAGTATAGATATAATACAGTAATAATAACAATAATAATTGCATATATATACACTACACACTACTATAATAAATACAGTAATAATAATATAATAGTATTATTATGCTATTATTATTACTGTATTTATTATAGTAGTCCGGCCATGAAAGCCTTCAACAATAATATAATAAATATAATAATATAATATTATAATATATTATAATATTGTAATATTATAA